CGGGCCGGATCCGGCCCGCGGGCCGTATGTTTGACAACCCTGAGCTACATGGTTGAGTAAAAAATGAAATTGACAAGAACACATTCACAATCACGATCGTGTGGCGGCTCACTTGCTCAAAGGGTCCCGCTAACAGGAAGTTGCACAATCACTGTATAAGTGAGACTAGCAAAACTATCAATTACATTCAATTTGGTCTTCCCTTGGTGAAAGGTTTTTCTTGTTAAGCTATGAAAGGACAAATAGCAAGAGATTAATGGGTGACACAAAGGAATGAAAAGAGCCAAGTGATTGCTTGGGTTAATATTTGAAGGTTCAGCACACAAACTAACTTAAGGTAACCAGCCTTATTTGAAACGTTAACCGTCCTGATGCATTTCACTCTGTGCAAGAATAGCAAGCAGCGCCAGGATTAATTCAGTGACAGACATTCAAGAAATACAGTACTGGCAGGGGTGGAGAAAGGAGCACCCAGTGCATACAAACACTTTTGCAAGGTTGGTCAAGAAACATGTTTGACAACATAAGCACTATTGTCTAAACACACATAGTGACAGGGAGCAACATAAGCAAATTGTATCTCAAACACACTATTTAAGACCTCCCCACTGTCCCCTCCCTTCTCCTCTGTCTGTCCTCCAGCTAAGAGAGGTGCGGTCGCAGCTCAACAACCCACCTTCCAGATGTCTACAGCATGCATCAAGCCAAGACAAGACCGGACCTGCGACTACTCTTAATCTCCAACAACCTCAGGCGATGCAAGCTCCTGAACTTCTACACACTGTCAGAGCACCAACCCACCCTCATAAAAATGTTGTCAAGGAGTTTAGCAATTCTTGTATTACAGCTTAAAAAGATCTGTGCACTCAACGTGTGCAACAAGCGCCTGAAATTCTAATAGTGTGGTTTCTGAAAAATTAAACACAAGATCATATAGTTTTGGGGGAAATGTATCATATGAAACTAGCCAGTGAAGGGATGACAAAGTGGCTGTTATTCAAGGTTATCAAGATTTTTATTGATTGAACAATTTTATATTACATCAGGACATTAAGAATGTGTTTAATGTCAGTTTTTTTGCCCCTATTATTTCTAAAGCTGCCACTTTCCTCTGTTTCTTTTGGTACAACAGCTTTTGGCTTCCAAGTTCACTTCAGAGACGCAACAGAGGCGGGACAGTACCCACATAGAAGGGAATTGTGGAATGGTCGGACAAGGGTGAAGAGTTTGACACTCACATCAAGTCCTGCTGTGCTGAAAGCAACGACGACTGTCAGGCAAGTTTTGTTTACTTTGCACAGTGTCTCCTTTTACCTATTCAATATAAAATGTTTGGCCTCATTAAAGCTGTGGGTGAGCTGGAGAGTGTATGCCAGCTAACTTTGGGTAAGAAAGGGGGGGGGGGCACAACTTGGTCTGGCCGCCAGGCAATCTCAGGGCACAGATACTGTTGATAACCCCTCATACTCTTATTCACACCATAGACAATTTTAAGTCTTTTAACCCTAACAGGTGTTTTTGCATGACATACTGTAGAACAATGCCAGAGTACCCGGAGAAAATGGACACAAGCACAGGGAGAACATGGGGGGGGGGGCACAACTTGGTCTGGCCGCCAGGCAATCTCAGGGCACAGATACTGTTGATAACCCCTCATACTCTTATTCACACCATAGACAATTTTAAGTCTTTTAACCCTAACAGGTGTTTTTGCATGACATACTGTAGAACAATGCCAGAGTACCCGGAGAAAATGGACACAAGCACAGGGAGAACATGCAAAATCCACACCAGAAAAACAGAACCTAGCAAGCTAGCTAGATATATTTGTCCCAGTTGGTGACAGAAATTCTTCCTTGACAGGGCTCACAAACACTTGCCAAGTCAACATGTTTACATTTTTAAAGCTATATTTATAAATTCAAGAACTAAGTGTTTTATTAATTTTACACCTTAATGTCACCGGTGTTTGTCTCAAGCTTACACTTGAATGACAGTTAGGAACATTAAAATCCACTGTGACTTAAAACGCTGCTTGTATAGTCAAAGTTATAAAATGGCACTGATCGGCCCTGGAATACCTCAATTACCTACGGACAACTGTTTTTCAAATAACTCTGGGGTCCATTGAAAGGTTGCACCTCACCGCTGAGGATGTGTTGTCAGAGTGAGCAGTCATTATGAAGATGCTCAAGGGTCTCCTGGACTTACCTGTAGCAAAACTTTATCCAAGGGCTCAGCATTGACGACGTCGTCCAAACTGAGGCCCGTCTCCTCTTTACACTGATCTGCAAGCTCCAAAGTGTCTGGTTTGACAAGACATCTGTGAAGCTTGCCCACCTGAATGAAACAAACTTTTAGCATGTCAGGTCTCGGTAACAAAAGACAAGGTGATTAACAGGTCGGCCTCCCATACAGGAAATGGACAATTATGAAATAAAATAACAATATGGTTGCAAAGGAGAACTTAATAGTCAAGGGCTGGGTTGACATGGCAAATCAAAAAGGTGTGTTTTTGCTCCAAATAGGTAAAACCAAAGAAAAACTGGGAGAAAGTAACAAAATAAAACGACACAAACAAACAAAATACACTCCCTCATTTGCCGGCTACATTTGGGCTGCACACCTGGACAGAAGGTGAGCTAGAGATAGCATTAGCACACACCGTGTTGATTTATGTCAAACAGTTAAAGACACGATACCGAATGAAAATACACACAGGCACACTCGAGTACAAGAAACAGGACGAACGAACGGGCCGTACCTTTTTCTCACGTAGGTCCACAATTTGCCACACCAAGAGAATTATTTCCCTCTCATCCGAACCCAGTTTACCCCCATTTGCACCAGCTGTTGCCCCAAAGAACACCACCAGAGTATCACTGTGCGAAGCCATCAGGGACCACAAGGGTAAAAACTACAATTAAAGCAAAGATTAAACTAAAAACAACACAAGGGTTCACCTTTTTCCAAGTGATAAGAGGAGCGACCAAAAGGGTCTGGAAACTCAATTGAGGTAAGGGGAGAGAGAGAGAAAAATAGGGGAGATTATTTTCAGAGGGAGCCACGAAAGAGTTTGCGGCCAGTCACTCTACCTGTTGCTGTACTTGAGCGAATTCTATCCAGCGATACTGGTTTGACTAGTAAAGAAGGGTGGAAATCCGTGTTTCGTTCACATGAACTCCATAACTAGCCTTGGAGGTTTTTTTTTCAGTTTTTTTTTTCTTAGTTACCTGCGTGTGTCTCAGCCCTTGAGCCTGACAAGTCCCACAAGTGTCTTCTTATTGGCTGTTTCACAAAGGTGAGGGCGGGACAATGAGGCGTATTATGTTATATAATTGGTCAGAGGCGTTTAACTAGGAAGTAGCCTGATTAAAAAAAAAGGAGCTGTGGTAGAAACCTGCATGAGGCATTCCCGTGGAATGTTTCGGATTAATGACTGAGAGACACGCTCGAAAAACAAACACCTGCTGTCACTGAAAAGTCATCTTTCAGATCAGATGGTTTTATATGATTAAAATGGGCAGCTATTCATTTGAACCTGACAAAACTTCGAAATTTACTTTTAACAGATATGGACATACTGTACTTAAGGCCCACCAGATTCAATAGAAACAAAGTTGTCATGTTCTAGTGATGTTTTTTATTTTCTTTCCAAATTTGTTTTTATCATGCCGTTTCTTTTGGGACATAGCATATTTATTAAACATAAACTGCTCACCAAGTTAAGAATACAGTATTACGTGTTGCGGTGAATTATCAGCGTGAACCTAAAATGCTCTAACTTTTTCAGGTGAACTGAATTGACCTTGTATTCCACAAGTCCAACTCTTCAATGTTTTAATATATTCTCCCCAACTTGCTCTAGCTGAGTAGCAAAATTCACAACAGGGTGTTTCAATCAACCAATACATTTCCAAGGACATCCTTTTCTGCCTTTCTGTGGCACAACACTTTGCTAATTGCTTGTTTGACATTATGAGCATTAAATATCTGGTGGATTTTAAAGCATTTTTTCACAGGTTTACATTGTTTCATGAACAGCCCATGAGATGTTGGTTCCCCAGGTTTCTTAAACTGTCATTTTTTACTGGCATTTTAGATTAAAGGTATTTATGACAAGGTGCTTGGTAGTTTCTTGAATATTATTTTACACTACCACCGAAAAACTGAATCATCGAATATTAAGTGGTTAAGCAACACTTGGGGAGCTGAAATCCAAGTTGAATTCATATTCCATCATTTCATAAGAGAAAACCAGAACCCAGACTATCCAGAGAACATGTAAACTCCACACAAAGATGTCCCAACTGAGATTCGAACCCCGATCCCTCTGACTGTGAGGCAGTCACGCTAACCACATTTAGTTTCAACCAATTAAAATTAAAGCTTCATTTCGTAACCCTGGTCCGAATACATAAGAATAAAAAGCCGCAACATCTGGCACTGTTGAATGTAAATTCAGTATTCACACCAGTTTTTAACCAGGACATTTATTGGTCGGTTCAAGGATTAAACACCTGTGGTGAATTTTGGCGTTAAACTCCTCGTTAGAGAACAGCAATTTGTGCAAAAATTACTGAAACGTTTAACAGCTGGAATATGTGCATTCAAAATCTTCGAGAATATCACATCATGTTGACCTGTAAAGGTTTGAATGCTTTTTAGGCCCGTCCTGGAATTTCACCCAAAATCCAAATATCATTTTGTGAGTGGTGTAGAGAGATAGATCTCATGAGTTATCGAGCTCTTGGCCTGCATAATATTATCTGCGGTGCCACCACTTTGAGAGAAACTCCGTCTTCACCTTTTTTTAGAAAGTGCTTACAGTGCCATCTACTGGTCGTGTGACTGATGAGAATGATCGTGTTGACCACGATCTCAATTTTTTTTCAGTTTTTATTCACTTGATTGGTTGATAGAAAACTGTGACGAAATGGTACGTGTATTATGCTGTAAGTGTAAGATTTTCCTCAGGATGAAGTAACAAAGACAACAACAACAGCAACAACACCTTTATTCTGCATTTTGTGTAACAAAGGGAACATGCATGTCGCTTTTCATTTTGCAATCTTGTCATGGAGAGGAAGTAAAGAGGCCTGATAGACAGACAGACAGACAGACAGACAGACAGACAGACAGACAGACAGATAGATAGATAGATAGATAGATAGATAGATAGATAGATAGATAGATAGATAGATAGATAGATAGATAGATTTTCTAAAATAAATAAACACTTACGACCACAACATCATCCATCTTTTCGATACTGCTTATCTTCATTACGGTTGCGGGTGAGCTGGAGTCTATCCCACCTGACTTTGGGTGAGAGGTGGGCTGCACCCTGTACAGGTTACCACTCACCAGCCACTCACAGGGCAAATGTTTGTGGACAAACAACCATTCACGCTTACATTCATGCTTCAGGACAATTTAGTGTCTTCAATTAACCTGCCATGTATGTTTTCCGAATGTGAGAAGAAACCAGGGTATACTCGGAGAAACCTCACACAAGCGGGGAAAACATGAAACACCCAACCAGAGAACTGTGAAGCTGATGGGTTAACCAGTTGTGCCGACGCCGTAATATTAAAACCACTCATAATACAGAAAAAAAATGCTTTTACTAAAATAAGGCTGGTTCTTTTTTTAATTGACACTCTCAAAGAGGTATTCCTTTCATTTGTAATGATTTATTATTGAGGTTGTGGTTTACAGTAGTTAAACTGAGAGCTTAATATTTTGTTGCGAATCGATTATTTGAAGAATTACATACTTTATTGCATTCTTTTCCGTGCTAATAAATGTACATGTAAATAGTTAAATTTCAGATACAAAAAGCAAAAACAAGAAACTGCTGTATTTACACGAAATTACATAGACCATTAATTCACATTGCTATGATGTGTGGTTTCCAGAAATGTCATTTTGCTCTTTTGACTCAGAGTTACAGTGACTGCTGCTGGTCTGATTGTTTTGTCTCTTAGACACAAAGGAGAACTCCCTGTTGCCCTCACCTGGAGAGGTGCTGGAGATGTGTCGGAAGAGCTTCCCGATACCCGTGTCCCTCAAAGAACTGCGGAAGGAACGGGCGGCAAACATGTAGAGAATGGGATTAATGGTGCTGCTGATGAAGACCATAGCTCCGCTGATGTAGGCCATGTTGCTGCGTACATCCTCTAAATGATCTCCGATGTGGGGGAAGGACGTCTCCATGGCGAGGATAATCAGTGAGAGTATGTTTCCTATGTGGTATGGTGTCCAACAAATGGCAAACACCACCACCACACTGGCGATGAGAACCGTAGACTTGCGCTTGGACTTGAAGGTCATTTGAGTAATGCGGGTGCACAGGCAGCCATAGCACACTACCAAGATGGAGAACGGCAATACGTAGCCCACCAGAGTCTCCAGCAGCACACACACCAGCTCCTGAGTGACTGAAGTGTATTGGTTGTACAAACAGTGCTCCTCTCCCGAATCCTTATCAACAACCCGCGTGAGGAGGGCGGGCACACTGAACAAGAAGGCTGCGGTCCACAGAAACAGCAAGGCTTTATTTAGGGCCTTTTTCCTCTTCCATCCAGCTGAGGCGAAGGGATAGCGCACGGCCAAAAAACGCTCCACGCTCATCAGGGTGATGAGGAAAACACTGCCATACATGCAGGCGTTGATCACAAAGCCCATGACTTTGCAGGAGACCTCTCCGAACACCCAAGAGTGGACCAATGAGTAGATCCACAAGGGCAGGGTGACCAGCACCAAAAGGTCAGCGGCCGCCAGGTGAAGGATTAGCACCACCGTGTGAGAGCGCTGCTTGACGTGGCGCAAAATGGTCCAGATCACCAGCAGGTTGCCAGGCATCCCGATCAAAAAGGACAGTCCCAGGATCACGCAGACTGCCACCATTCCGCCACCAAATTCCTCGGGGGCCATTTCAGCCGGAGGAGAGTGCTCGCTTGAATGTGAGGTGCTGACAGTGGTGTCTGCATGAAAAGCAAAAACAAAGTGCAGCACCAGCAAGGCCTCGCTTCCTCTTTTTTCTCATGAAAAAGTGGGCAATTTCCTGTAAAGGGTGACTCATGTTTTCAACATAAGATCAACATTTGGTTTGGAATATGCATTCATGCACATTAACACAATTATGAATTTTAAAATGCATATTGCATGGTTGGTACAAAATAATCTTTTATGTTGCAATGTTATCTCTCATGGCTTAGCATAGACATGCCAACATCAAATCGTTGGACAAGATAGCTTTTTTTCTAATAATGATGAAAGAAAATGTACTTTTACAGTATGTTTATCCATCCATGATGCAAAGAACATGCAAACTTCTCACAGCAAAAAGTCCAGTGTTGAATTGACTCCCACGGAGTTGATTTTAAAAAAAATTCTGAGTTATATACCATAGCTCTATGCTTCTCAAAGTTAAATCAACACTTTTAAAATAGTTAAGTATTTAACACTAGGCGAGAGGACATTTTAAACTTATTTAACAGTTAACACCACAGGACTAGAGAAGTAATTCTTCTCAGACACATTTGTTTTCCCTCTCAGTCAGTATTAGTTTGACTCAAACTTCATAGTTTACCTTGACCAGGATTAGATCTCCAACCTCAAAAGTCAGTGGTGCTATCCACTGATCCATCCAATCACTGCTCATAATGCATGTTAATGAGGATCAAACGTCTCCGCAAATATGATCAAAGGTAGAATGTCATCATCTCACTGCGAACAAGTCCAACTTTTGTACTCATCACCATCAACTTCAACCGAACTACAAAGTGATTGAGAACATTTCTTTTGAAGGGATCATTTCAAGCATGTCACTGTTGACCAGTCGCTCGTGTGAGTAAAAATGACTTAAGGAGCCCAAACACCTTTTGTGTTTGGGCACCTTTTGTGTTCCCTCCAGAATATTTTGGTAATCTTGAGGTTTTGTTGTAACCTGCACAGATTAATGACACCCTGCAGTCTACTGGATGTAGCAAATTGGGTGCAGAACATAAAATCTCCTCAATGTATAGTTTGGTACAGTGTTCTCTTCTTGTACACCTTCTTTTGCATCTATTAACATAGAGCTCAGGCTCGTGCAACTGCCCAAAAAGCTCCAGTTTGTGTCATGATTCTAAAGGAGATTCCCATGTTTTCCTGCATTTATTTATTATGGCCACTTTTTTTAATCCATTTCTTTCAAATACATTTTATGGAGCTGAGTGTACATCTCTATAACCATAAACGGCTTTTTAAAATTAGCTGATTCCCATATGTTATTGTGATTTCTGCCGGTGCCGGTCTCAATCAAGTTTATTAATCATTGTAAATGTTCATACAAGCAAATGGAAATAGTAAAAATATGGCAGTAAGCGTGCCAAAACAGGTCAAACGACTCCGAGATTATATAGTTACATAATTATAAGTCTTCGTAAGTAGTATTAATATTACACAGACACTAAGTACTGAAGATATGTTGAGTCGCCGACAGCATTGAGAGAGGGGACGTCGATCTCTTATGATGACGTATCACGCGCGAGACAGCAGCCTCCCCCCAGCTTGGCTGTGGCTCGATGAAATAAACATGACGATGTTGACAATTACGATGTTTTTAATGGAGCACTCCTAAAAACCGCGGCGTTCGATACAACGCGTAGGTTGGATATTGTGTTTGAGATTCCGGGAAACCGTAAGTGAAAGTTTAATACGGATTTAATGCTTCGTATTGAAGCATAGAATGATTAGCAAAGTAGCGAACGTTAGCCAACTTACAGCTAGTGTTAGCTGATGTTAGCCAATGTTAGCCATGCGAATAGGTCGGATTCAATTGTTTAGTTTGGAGCTCGGAAACTCTTTGTTTTACCTTAAGGACATATATATAAATGAGTTTAATATGTTTCGAAGCGGGGGGATTTGTGAGATTGATGTGTTGATAAACAGAAACTAGATCGGCGTGCTATCAGGTAAACGTCTCACCTGTTTAACGTCATTCTCAACATTCCTCGCACGATTCGTACTTGTTTATCAGAACGGGTCTTTCGTCGATTTAGTAACTAATTTTAGTGCATTTAACATAACTCATGAGTGTGACTGCCCTTAGTTAACAAACTTGTGCTCTTTAAAGGTCTCGAACGGGGACAAAGCACAGTTTTAACGAGTGGGGAGAAGGCTCGGAGCAGAAATGCCTCTGCTATTTCTGGAGAGGTTCCCTTGGCCCAGTCTGCAGACCTACACGGGGTTGACGCTGGTTTTGCTGGCGGGGAGCATCTTCAGCGCCTACACCACTGTGACCGATCCTGGCTTTGGGTCTTTGGAAGGGGATGAGTCCCCAACACCCACCGACGTGGAATTAGAACACTTGAATAATGATATTAGTAATACAGAATTGGCAAACACTGTCTTGTGGTATCTGGTAACAGACAGCCTCTTTGTATGGGTGAGCTCCTTTTGTTTATTTATATATATATATATATACACACACAGAGAGAGAGAGAGACACGGAGAGAGAATGATGGGGGTGGCAAATTGTTTTTATCAATGGTCACATTGTTATTATGAATATGATTTCTGGTCTTGAAATGATGCTATGGCCAACACTCACAGAACATCAGTTGAATCATCTCTGACAAAAAAAAAAACAAAACTATTTTTTTATATTTCTATCTAGGGTTGCCACTAACCATCATTTTAGTAATTAATAGTTGATTATTTTGTCAATCCATAGATGAACCAGATAAAAAGTTAGAATTTCCATAATATATTATTCCATAATATTTTTATGGCCATTTAGGAGCAGAAATCAAGGAAAAAATGTTGCAAGCTTATAAAATGTTTCACAGGGCTGGATCTCTCCCACAGATGTTTAATACAACACCTGTGGTACATCACCTGTGATCTACCTATGAGTGAGAGCAGTTTTAAAAGCTAATGTGTCTGGTTTTCTTCTCGTTGTAGGTGCTAGTGAATACAATCTGCTGCTCCTTAATGTTAATTGCAAAAATGATCCAATATGTGGTGTTTGGCCCTCTCAGAGTCAGTGAGAAACAGGTGAGTTTGGCTTATGAATACCCGAAAATATGAGCAAACGTGAGTGTTTTTTCTCATGATCTCTTAACTTGAACTCTACCAGCACCTAAAAGACAAGTTCTGGAACTTCATCTTCTACAAGTTTATATTCATCTTTGGCGTGCTGAACGTACAGACAGTGGAGGAGGTTGTCATGTGGTGTCTGTGGTTCTCTGCACTGGTCTTTCTTCACCTGATGGTGCAGCTCTGCAAGGACCGGTTTGAATATGTAAGTTTTTATTAATCACACACTTTGTTGTTTTACAGACTTAGTTATCCCACGGAAACCAAAAGACAAACCTGACTTGTTCGGACAAATAAACCAAAGTTCAGTGTATGCACACATACCAGCAAAAGTCAAATGAACACATCTGTGAGACAAGTGCATTGACAAACTGATAGATACAGTGAAAGCTCACAAGTAGACGGAATCAAAATCCAAGTATCCAGTATTACGTTTGTAACCACTTGTTCCAGCGGCCAGATTCTCTCCATCATAAAACCTTGATTAACTGTACGGACAATGCAAAGCATAACATTAGGCAACATAATACGAGTACAAACGGAAATTAATGTGTCAGAAATAATAAAACACAATTTAAACAACCTCTTCACTTTGGAGACATTGCTGATACTCCTTATCTCATTGTTTTAACATAACTATCAAACTAACAAAATGTTGGTACAAAGTAAGACGCATATACAGTAAACGCAACCTTTTGGTCATTTTAAAGCATTTCTTTCCCTGAAATATCTTAAATTCCACATTTTACAACCTCTAAAGTGTCTTTGGAGGTTACTTTGTAATCTAGGACAGGGGTCCCCAACCGCCGGTCCGCGGACCCGGGCCGGCGCGCCGGGC